ACTGAAAACAGAATTTCTTGGAGTGGATTCTGTTTGTTATATATACATTGTGGAGTTAAGGAAGTTGGAAGGAAATGTTTGTATAGTGGCAGGAAATGTTAAAGTACCATACAGATGCCTCTGTAATTTTCTGCAGATTTGACAACTTGTTCCTGCGGACCACACTGAAATTTAGACATAAGTACAGGTATTTACATTTATGCAAAAAAACCCAACTCAAATTATTTGTAAGCATGAAATTCCACACATTGGGAGAAGTTGTGATAAGATACAGCAGAAAAACTGCTTGAATTTCTGAAATAAGGAGCCTGTTACAAGGCTAACAAGATGATTATCCTAACATACATAATACAGCACTTGGTGTTTTAGATGTGCAACAGAAAAATGCACAGTTAAATAGATTGTTCAGGATGACTTTTCCAGAAAAATCACTGCTATTCTCCTCTAGGACAGTCCCTAGTAAACATTAATTAACATTTTAGGTAGCCCTCACAGATGAGTAAATGGAGTCTTTAATAAATAAGGATTTACAGTGTTATATCCTATTGCTATTGAGGTATTGTTCTTAAAAATGAACTGAATTAATTTTAATTTTCTTAATTAAATGAAGTTTTCTTAAAAAAAATTCTGTAAATTAGCTTGATTTATTGAAATCCAGAGTGTTTTCTTAGGGAGGACTGGCAAAAAAATTAACCAAAGATTTTATACAAAACATGAAACTTCTCCTCCAAGTTTGTCGACAGCTGAAGTGTGTTTCTTATTGACAGAAGATGCAGCATGGTTGTTTGTAATGGACTGTAAAGGCATCTTAAACCAGAACATGAAAAATGTATTTAGCAACTAATCTTTAAAATGAAAAGGGAAGAAATGGAATAGCACTGTGACATAGGAAGTGGAACATGCATTACATCTAAAGCATTTTTTTAACTTGCTCTTTGTCATGAGCAAGAATTTTACTTTGTCATTCAGAAATGGCCATTGGGTAGATGGCACAAAGAGTCTTGATGTAAAACGGGACAAAAAAGTGCATTTCCTTATATGATTGAAATGTCTGCTTTGAATCAGTAATGCTTATAAGCCTAAATTAAAATGTAGTTTGGATAGGAAATACAGAAAGGTTTATTAACCTGAAATAAATTATCCCAGCTAATCTAAAGCACTGGCTAACATAATAGACTATGCAGAAAAGATTTTTTAGCCATGTTTATATATTTTTAGCCATGTTTATGTTTTTTACTAAGATGCTTGGGAATTATCTCTTTTTCTCTAGCAAGGTAAAATTGAAGGAATTAAGTAAAATAACAACAGTGTAAGCACATTCCTTAAAAAGAAGAAACTGGAGTGTCAGTGCTTTTCTGTTCCCAGAAGGAATGTTATCGTAGTAACACATTCCAGAGAAAGTTTGATGCATTTTAATGAGTAAGGTATTCATTCTACTTTTATTGTGGCATAGATCCTTTTCCATACTGTTCACTTTATGAACTTCTGGCATCCATCTGTTATGGTTCCAGTTCATAGTTGTTGTCAGATTGTTTGGACAAACTGTCAGAGATTTTCTAAGCTAATGACATTTATCACTGGTTCTCTTGAGAAATGAACATTTGTTGACCATGACTCTTCTGACATTACAAAGGCAATTATTTTCAGCAGTATGGTAGCTCTTGTGATAAGAGCTCTTAGCATCACAGGGCTACAGTTGCATCTTTCCACTACTCCTGTTGTTAATAATTTAAAGAAAAGTCTGAAAGTGGATGAATGGCTCCTTCAGACAGGAAATCACACAAAGGATTAATGTTCTGGTTCTGGCAGGCAGGATTATAGATAAGCACTTTAGACCAGTTTTCCTTTAGGTAGGATCAATGTTCTAGTGGGGAAAACAAACAGGGAAGTAGTAATGGTAACACAAATGGTTGCATCAAAAGTGTACAAGACATTAGACTTCAGAAATTATTCTCTTGGGCAGATGGCCTGATAGCTGACCTGAAGTTCATGAGCCATTGTATAAGGAAGAAAAATGATGTAAGTTATTGTGCACTTTTGTTGAATGAATTTAATAAACTCTGTTAAGCAGATTTGTAATAAGACTCAGTCATTTGGCTTATAGAGAACTGACAGATGTAGTGTTTATCATATTCTTTTTTTTTTCCTAATTTGTTAGAAATAATCTAGATTTTATCTGAAAACTAATTTAAGCCCAGTGATAAGTGTTCCTCTGCTTGTTAAAATTTCCTATCTGTAAGGGAAAGATAAGAAATTAAAAGTTTCAAGAAGGGGAAAGTCCTTTATCTTTAAACCTTCATTTGATTACTGCTCAGTCTGCTCAGTTTCCAGTCTCACTTCTGATGTTAAGTTCAAGCACTCCTCTGACTGTCCCTCCTAAAGCTATAAGCCATGTTTTCAGCCCTCTTGTGACATCTTCCCCAAAATTCTGCTTTCCTGTGCCTCTGAGATTTAAAACCTGACATTTCCTGACCAGAAGAAACATGACCTAGTGCAAAAGATAAAAATTTCTGGCTCGAGCAACAGCTTGTAGAAAATCTTGCCTCAGCAATTCAACCAGTAAAGACCAGTTATCTAAGTCTAACACTGACACCTAAATCACCTTAACAGAGGTGACTGCACTGGCCCATGAGTCAGCAGTGCAGTCCTTCATGGGTTGTTTCAATCAGTAGAAGCTAGAGATTCACAGAAATTAGAGAGCACAGCTTATGTCCACAGCTGAAAAAGTTCATATCTGCTTCTGCACTGGGAATTTTCCATCACACCCGCTCTGTTCAGATACATTTTGTTTATCTGGATGACCTGACTATGTGGTCTTTATACACCAGTGTATTTTCTAAACAACTCTGGGAGCATACAAATGTATTTTTCATACAAGGCTGGGTTCTGGGGAGATAAGAATACCTGCACATCTGCCACATTATGTTGATAGTTACAAGGACATAAACCAAGAGAAGGTCACAGTAACTAATGGCATGGTCCCAAGGTTTATCAGTATGAAAGAGACATTAATTTAGTGGAGTTTAAAAAGTAATTATTTCCTCTCTCTCATGGCAGCCGCTTCACCCCATGTGCTTTTTTTTTGCCTGATCGTATACGAAACATAAAAAGTGAACAACAAAGCTAAGTGAGGTGTTTTCTAAAGTTACAGCTTGTTATTTGATATTCATCATAATTCAGATTCACCGATGGGAACATTTATTTTGGCTGCTCTAGGAGGATGTTGGTGACAGATTTCTAGGAGGATGTTGATGACAGATTTCTACTTTGTCAGGCTATCGTTATTTCTGCGAAGGTTTCAATATGCAAATAATTCTTACAAATTCCTACAAATAATTCCTCCTTTTTAAAAGAGTGTTTCTCTCCTTACTACAGTGATTCTCTAAGCACACTTTATTATCTAAACACTGGAAATTTGAGAGGTACTCAATCTGTGTTTATGTCAGTGGGTAGACCAAGACATGGTCATGCAAAATCATCAACGTACCTAGATACCCTGTTCAAACACTATATGAAACAAAAGAGGGAAAAAAAATCAGCTAAAGACCTCCATCTGTGCCTTGTGTAATCAAGCTAGAAAGTGATATTCTCTTTTGTAAAGCCTTTTACATGGATTGGAAAAAAGCACAGTTTTGTAAACAGGCCATTGTATAGATGGAATTGTGTGCCATTTAAAGTATGAAGATGTTTAGCTTCCTAGCACCTTTTCCCCTATCACAGAAGTCTTACTGATTTTGGACATTTACATATGCAAAAAGCCTGTCAAGGAGCAGTATTATTCTGTGAATTTCTATTGGTGCCTACAGTTTGCAAAGCATTTTCTGAACTTTGTGTATAAAAGAAAACAAGATTACCCTAGACCTGAAATTTGTTAAAATGTGCTAGAATATTCAGTCAGGATTCAACTTGTTCTTTGTGCCCTGAACTATTAAAAGTCAAAAAGTAAATCCTTTAACTGGTTTGAAAGAAGAGCAAATATTACCCACTTTTTTTTTTATTATAACATTAAAATTACTGTTCTTTAACTGAAGAGAATCTGTTACTGATTGAAATTTTACTGGCTTGAAATTATCCTATTAGTAATTTGAACATCTGTAGAGTGCTTAATATTCTTCCTTTTCAAATATTTAATTTTTTTTTCTAATGGATAGTGTGGGAGTTATTCATAAATATATTTTTAACAATCTAAATTTCACATGATAGGTGATTTTAAAGTCCCTGGAAAAAGAATGGCTTGAATGTATAGTCTTTCTTATTTTCTGTCTCTGAAGTTTCACATGTACCAGTTTATTAGTGACCAAAAATCCTCAGCAGAGGTGTTATTTTACTGATTGGTGTAAACTGACAGGCCTTTTCAGACCCTGTGGTTTCTTCTCTTTCCCCCTTGACTCACAGTTTCATGTAAAGGCTGAGAATGTATAGATATGTAAGTTTTTCACACATTGTGAAATATTTCAGACATACTGATTCCATGACATAAAAATGTGTTCTTCTCGTGGGTCTTTGCTTTCCAGAGCAAATGATACATTGCCAACACTAGAATCACCAGAAAAGAATGTGGAAGATTTCTCACTGTGTTAAGAGGTTGTTTCAGAACTGGAGAGAATGAACAGAATATAAACATCCAAATGAATATCTAGAAGAATAATTCATTTAAGGAATCCTAAGCCTCTGAAAAGGATCCGTTCTTTAGGGACTGTGGATGAGGATGAGGATTTTTTTAAGGTCACAAAGTATATGCTTATCCATAGATTACATCAAGTATAGGAAAGGGGGTGTTCAGAATACTACTAAGACTATAAAATGAAGCAGTTGCATGAAAAGGAAACTAAAGTTTTAAACAATATATAGCCTAAACCAATGTAGCTGGCATTTGAGCTGTAGCAAGCCTTCACAAAGAAAATCCTTATATGCAATCAAAGAAAGGTATAAAATCTGTTTGATAAATTGAGTAGTCTCTTTCCATCTATCTTCAATACTTTTTCTTTTCCATCCAAAAGCATCATCATGTGACCAAGAACTTCAGTCAGCCCTGGAGGAAGCAAAGCAGCCCCAGAAGGACAATGTGTTCATTCCAGAGTGTGCTCAGGGCGGCCTCTACAAACCAGTGCAGTGCCATCCTTCCACGGGCTACTGCTGGTGTGTTCTGGTGGATACAGGACGTCCCATCCCCGGTACCTCAACCAGGTAAGGGATTCAGTTCTCAAAAGCTCGGGTAAGAACATGCCCTAGTCTCCATGAACTATCGTGTAGATTTCTATTGCTGGTGGAATTATGTCATACAGGTTTTTTATAAATTGAAATACTTTGAGACATCAAAAATTAAGGCCAGATGGCCATGGACTCTTTCACTGCAATGGCACTGGCAGTTTGCCATACTAGCCCTCTTCTTTACTCCTTTTTTGTGCTAGGAATCCAAGACTTGAAACATATAATGAATGATCCCAGAGGAAATCTCACACTCCTTTTCCTGAATATAAAAGAGGCAAGTGAGATGGTCTATGACACAAACCACATCCAACCTCAGAAATGCTTAGTTATTTTGTTATTTTTCCAGCAACCTCCTCAACTATTTCATATGATGTTCTTTGATGGAACAACTCCTCGGGAACCCATAGCTAGGAAATATCATTTTAGTGTGTTATTAATAGAAGGTTGGAGTTCAGTCATCTCAGCTGAGCTGGATACATGGTAAATTATTGTAAGCCACATAGTGTAGATGTAGGCAAAGCACATATCAGGTTCCAAAGGATGTTATTTAGGTTGGTTATTGAGGTTTGGCCCTTGCAGAAATGCTATAGAAGCTCATATGGAGCTGGCAGGCAGTATAGGTATCTTGATGCAATCATAATTCTTTTATAACTTAAGCAAAATCTTTTTTATCATTTGCATAAGGTTTGTGAAAGAAACGTGTTATAAGCCGCTTGCTGTAAAATAGTATATTCTTGGGGAGGATTTTTTCATGTATTCTTCAAGTGCTGAGTTATTGCTACCTGTTTATACCATAGTCTAGACTATGCCAATTACAGTGCCATCTGAAGTAGACTTGATGATCTTAGAGGTCTTTTCCAACCTTAAGAATTCTTTGATTTTATCACTTAAAGTCGCTGTTGATCAACTGTTTTTGACAAGTTGAGGTCCATAAATGGTCAAAACATAATAGTCCAAATTTGATGCTGAAACTGTAGGATCACTATACCTATTGTATGAGGATCTAAAGATGACTTCTAGAGATTCCAGATACTCCTTTTTATACCGTTTCTCTGTTCTCTACCCCTAGGTTTGTTCACTGTTTTCTTCTTTTTAGTGCCAATCCTTCTTTGAATGATTATCTTAAATAATTTTATTTCCTATACCCTAATTAGAGTCCAAAACATTTTTTTTGTGCTCATCAAGCAATGGGACTCATGCTGTGCTTTTGTTTTTGCTGTGTTTTGAGTTTTGGTGAGGTCTTCTTTTTTTTTTTCTTACCTTTTTTTCTTACCTTTACATAAATTTTTTAGCATTTTATTTTGTGCCCAATACCTTTTTTTCTGCCACTGGACATCAGCAAAAAGATTATGACTTCCCTTTCATTATTTTCCTCTCTTTGGCTACTTAGAGACAACATTAAGATCCCCTGTAAGCCTTCTCTTCTCCAGGGTGAACATTTTCAGTATTCTTTTCTTACTCTATCAAATGATCCAGTCCCTTAATCATATTTGTGGTCCTTTGCTAGATCCAGTGTGCCCATGTCTCTGTTCTTAGGGGAGCCCAGAGCTGGACACAAGATTGCAGATAAGTCTCATTCTTCCACTGTGAACGAGAGGGCAAGGATCTCCTCCCTTGACCTGATGATAGTGCAGCCCTGGAGGCTATTTGCCTTCTTTGCTGTCTTATACTCAGCATCCATCAGAAATCCCAGGTTCTTGCTTCAAAGTTGCTCTCCAGCTGGCTGACCCCATACTGTACTGATGCAGGGAGTTAATCTGTGCCAGGGGCAAGAATTTTGCTTTTTTAAACTTCACGAGATTCCTGCCAACCCATTTCTGCAGCCTGTTGAAGTTCCTCTGAATGGCAGCACAACTGTCTTGTGTATCAGACACTTCCTCCCAATTTTGTATCATCTGCAAATTTACTAAAGTTGTTCCATGTCCCAGTGTCCTGGTCATTAAAGAAGAGGTTAAACAATATTGTTTAACAATAAACAAGCTTTGGGGCACTCCACTGGTGACTGGCTTCCAGCTGAAATGTTTCTGCTCTTCCCAACTATTTGAAACTGGCTGTTCAGCCAGTTTTAAACATACCTCACTGTTCATTTATCTCATACATACTTCATCAGTTTGTCTATGAGAATGTGCTCAGAGGCAGTGTCAAAAGCCTAGCTGAAATTAAGATAAATTATATCTGCCCATCTCACCTTATCCACTGAGCAAGTTGCAGAATCACAGGAAGCTGCAGTGTTGGCTAAGTATGATTTTCTCTTCATAATTCCATCCTGACTACTCTCAATCACCTTCTTCTTTTTCATATGTTTTGAAATAGCTTATAGGAGGATTTATTTCATCACCTTCTCAGAAACTGAGGTAGGGATCTCTGGCTTATTTGGCTCTTCTGTGTCTTTCTTGAACACAGAAGTGACATTTTCTTTCTTCCAGTCCCCAGGAACCTTTCCCAGTCAGTAAGACCTTTCAGATATAATAGAGTGGCCCACAAATCAACCAGCTTCCTCAGCACTTGTGGGTGCATCCTATCAGGTCTCATGGAGTTATGTATGTCCAATTTGTTCAAACAGTCCCTGAGTTGATCCTTCATGACCCAGGATAAGTCTTCCTTGCTATAGACTTAACTACTGCTCTCAAGAACCTGGGATTCTTTGGAGACTGGTCTTACACGTAAATACCAGGGAGGGAGGTGCCATGGAGTACTTCTGCCTTCTCTCTGTTCTTTGCCACAAGATCTCTTATCCCACCCAGCAGCAGGCTCACACTTCCCTTGTCTTCTTTTTGCTGCTCATACATATGTTGGAAGTTCTTCTTGTTGCCTTTATGCTCCTTACCAGATTCCCAACCCCATCCCTGCACACTTGAATAGTGTCTGTTTATTCCTTTTGTATCAGCTGAACAACTGTATGCTTCCTTTTTAAATGTGAATTTTGTTAGGTGTACTTTGTTCATCTGTGTGGGCTTCCTGCCACATCCTGCACATCAGGATGAACCATTTCTGAAATTGAAGGTGATGATCCTTAAAAATCAACTACCTTGCTTTCTGATTAATATGTATAGTGTGCATGCAGTATGTGCCATTCTGGCTCCTACCATCATACAGACTGGGATTCTAGGCCTTCTCAACCCCTTGATGAATCACCTATGGACCTAGAATCAGTCTCTGTCTCTTTTTTTCCCTTGTTTGGTCTGCTGGGCTCATGGTTTTGGCAACTACACAGTCACTCAGCTGTGGGAGAAGAGACGGCAGGAAGACCTTTCACTGTGCTGCATGTCTCAAGGATGAAAGGCTGGAAAATTGGATACAATCTTTCCATGCATATGGTTTAGACACAAAAGTGCTCTGCCTGATGACTGATACTAAAAAGATCAGCTGCTATGTTCTTGACCATTTACTTAAGGTCAGTCCTCAGTGAAGCTCTGCAGAAGTAAAATTTAGTGATATCCCCAAAGAGGACATTTCTGAGCACAGATGGGTAAGGAGAGTACTCAGTTTTAGGAATTTCATACTAAATAAAGAATGACTGGTGTATTTAGGAATCTACAGTCTTGGTAAACAAGCAGGTGGGATTACTGCCTGGAGTTTAAGAGGAATGTCTAGACCTCATTTCTGAGAAATACTTAGATGGGCTGGAATCCCATTAATTATTTCTTGATTTTAATTTTCTTTTCTGCATTGATAAAACTAAACTTTTTTTTTTCAGGGAGAGGGAACTAAATGGGAACCAGAATATAATGAGGAATATACCCTTGTCTTTTTGTAATTCTTTTAGAATGGAAAGACAGAATATGTGAGTCCTTCCTAGTTTAAACAGCCAGAGGCTTGTGCAAAATTTGGTGTACTGTCTTTCAGTTTTCCACTTCAAAATACAAATCAAAGGATCTTAAAACTCTACTGCAGGAACTGATATCATTAGTACTCCTGGTAGCAAGATGGGTGCATAGCATACAGAAATCTCTGTTCTGCAGATAAGGGTCAAATTGCTAAGGGACAACACTGAAGGGATAGACAGAACCAGAAAGCTATTGCCAGAACAGCTCAACATTCTGCCTGTTATTTGTTTTGAATGTACTCATGAGAATGATATTTGTCATATTATAAGGTTCTGAACACCTCAATAAATGGTAATCATGCTACATAAGATCCTCAAAATGAAGGGAAGTTATTAACACTCACCTTCTAATACACTGTCATCTGAAAAAAAGAAAAATCACTTGTCAGTGAAGGTATTTCAGAAAAAAAGAAACTCATTCTAGATTTAAAATGAAGGTATGTCAATGAAGAATCCTTCTAGGACATTTAAGACAGTAAAACAAAAGAAATAGGTGAAGTTGTGGAATAAATCTGGATTAAAAGGAGGTAATGCATTTAAAGGCTAAAAACAACCATTCCCACAAAAGTGTCGGTGTGGTCCTCACCAGCTGGACACAATACCTCTTGGAAATCACAGCATGAACCTCAGCCTTTTGGCTCAGTGGGTACCATGGGGCTGAGTTCTGACATGTGACTTTTTTTAGCAACTAGGATCTTGTGCAGAGTAAACCCCAAACTTGCACAAGATTCTCTAAACTTAAAAAGGAACATAACAATCATCTGTTTCATGAAGCTGCCCTCATTGTAGAATCCCTGTGGAAGTCTCCATCCTCTACTGCTTCATACACCTCAGTAAATCTCACTGCTTCCCAGCAGACTGATCAGAGGTATAAAGCAGTCTTCCTAAGCCCTTGCCAATTCTAGATATACATTCACTGTTAAGGATTCTTTCCCCTTTCAAATTCAAAAGAGTAACTTGGGATGCCTTTTAACTACACTATTTTTAACCTGTGCTCCATTCTGACATACTATCCTGTTCCCACTCTTTCTTCATGAAAACTGAGGCAAGTCTGTTTTTCTTATCAGTTTTTAGCATGGCTGTTCCTATATGGTAAACTTTAAATGACTTGTTTTCTTTCTTCAGTTGCTTTAAAGAGTTAAACACAGACTTTTCACATTGCAGCATTTTAACACCTATCAGGCTTTTATAGATTTAGCTTGTATATGATGGACTATGTGTGTATTTAACAAAAATATCAGCCAAAAGGATAGAAGATTAGAGGCCAAAAAATGAAACGTAGGCACAGAGCAGCCACAGTAATGGAAGAGAAGGAGGGGAATGCAGAGTCAGGTATCAGATTAATCAGGGGCCAGGCTGTTTGCCAGATACTGCATTAGTGGGTATTGCTCAGAGACTTCCCTTTCACTGTTTTCTTGGCTGATTGAAGTGGTCATCCATCAAGTATATGAATCCAACCCATGTTATCAATGCACCTTCTATTTCTGCCATTCTTTAGGGTAAAAAAGAGTCTGTAGCTCTCCCATGTCCATAAAAACAATTCTGTACCTTCTTGCAGCAGCCAAAACTTGGTGGGCTAGTAGTCAGTTTCATCAGGTGGTATAGAAATAAATTAAGCGCTCAAAGGAAAAAATAATATTGCAGTTCTCTCTGCTGCCTGATAATTAAGAGCAAAATATTTAGGCATTGTTTTTAGAAGCAGTCTGACCTGAGTCTAGGACATTGCCACCATTCAATGTTTTTAGAAATATTTTGTTCCAAAAAAATTGGATTAGTATAATTTAATAAGAAATCTAAGTTTGCCATGCAGTAAATGTGCTTTTGGTGAAGTTGGAGAAGGAAAACTTCAGTTATATAAACTATGAAAGAATCTAGAATCAATTCAGTGAACAATATGTGCACACACATGTATATAGACATGATGCATGTTCATTTAACTGAGAATTGAAACATTCTCTGAAGTGCTACCTGCTAAGTCCTGCAACTTCAGTCTGCTTTAGGACAATAAAGTAAAAATTTCTCAGAAAGAGACTGAGGTGAGTGAAAAACCACCATGCTTTGATAGTGGGACATGGAAAAGGAGGTGAGATTCAGCAACAGATGTTCCTCCCATGCCTCCTGGTCTTGCATAAAAGATTGCTAGTGGTGTTGCATAAGTCACTGTTTGTTGGAAGTACAAATAACAGAATTTCTTGTTAACAGTTAGACTAACAAACTGACTTTAAGTAAACTCAGCAAACACAGAAGAACCAGAATATTCCAGTAGCAGGTGGAGATTCAGTCTTCACAATTCACTTCAAGCAGTTCCAGCCCAATTATCTTCCTTCTGGAAATACTATCACTTTTGCACTCTTGTTCAAAACATAACCCTTCTTACTTAAACTTTTTTGAGGTGCAGTAGTCCCTAACTACAGTACCTGCCTTGCTGTGATTTTGGTATTGTTTCTTTGTTTCTCTGGTGTTTCCCAACATGAATACTGCCTGTGATATTGTTTATGACTTTTTTTTTTTTTTTTTTTTTTAGGGGGGAGACAGCGTCTTTTTTTTTTACTTCTGTGGGGCTTCTTTTGTATATTTTTCAAAATAATTTTTATTTTGTATTAATTTATAGCAGTTCTTTAGTTTTCCTCCCAGTAGAATGGGTTTTAGAAGAGAGAATATTTTTTTTTAGTTTGTTATCAACTCCAGGAGAATAAAGATGGTTTCTTTAAGGTAAATGAAAGATAGATAAGTTTGCATTGCCCTCTGAATGAAAATGTGGGCTTATTCCCTAAATACAAGAAGGTATGAGGATTAAAAAATTTGAAATTAATTAATTCTTAATCCTATTAACCTTGGCTGGTTTTATTCTCTCCCTGTTTGTTCTTTAGGTATGAGCAACCTAAATGTGATAATGGTGCCAGAGCTCACCCAACAAAAACAAAGGATTTGTACAAAGGGCGCCAGCTTCAAGGTCAGTGAAACGGATAAATTTAAGTTTATGCATTCCAGTGCATAAACTGGAATGTTCACTACAGTAAATTAGAAAGCAATTCCTTACACTGTATCAAAACAGGGTATCTTTTAGATACCACTGTATTGATTTGCCACTGACTGAAGTCTTTGACTTTGGAGCAGTGTAAGTCAATATGGGTCTTGGGATCTTGTCAGAGAAAGTAAGGCTAATTTTAATCAGTAGTTTAATGGCCATCACATTTACTTGCTGGAATTATTATTTGCTGCTCTCATATCGGGGAGATCAGCAAATACATCCAGGATAACTCAACCTATGCTTCATAATCCTTGTTCTAGCAAAATCCATGGGAAATTGGCCTCCATCTTCAAATCAGTATCCATAAATAATATAATGGATACATAAATAATGTATCCATCTTACTTTTCTCCAAGCGTATCTTTATCAGTTTACCTCACAATAATACTTCTTGAAATGATTCTTTGTTAAAAGAAAAAATGGTGTTAATTAGAGTTTTCATTTTTTTACACATTTTATAATCATGTGAGAGATCTTATCTGTGGATAGTTGAGCTTCACAGAAGTCAGTAGACTTCCTTAATTTTTGAAATGGCCTTTCAGTATGCTTGAATAACTTGAGGAGTAGCAGGTTTAGTGATATTGCACATTATGAGAGAATTACAAGTCACTGTCAGCCATTGTAAAGAACCAGAAAGTAAATATTATGTGCAGATCTTTCATGTAATGAAAAATAATCTAGTTTGGTCAGCCAAAGAAACATTCAGACAATTCTCAAACTATGCGCATCAGTGCTGAAATGCATATTGAGTGAACACATAAATGCTCTCTGTCATGAAATAAATTTAATTACAAGGTGTAATAAAAAAAACCAACTAGATATAACTCTAAGTTGTGTTCTATATAAAAGCTAATCAAAAGACCTGGTTAAAGATGCCCTGCTTATTGTAGGGGGGCTGGAGAAGATAACCTTCAAGGGTCCTTTCTAACCCAAATTATTCTCTGCTATTTACAACTCCATGGAAAGCAGTGGAAAGTTAGCCATCTTCAACAAATTATTTCACACAACACTTGCATAGTTACAGACTTGGATGGTTACTTGATTTTATGGGTTTTTTTTCTGACTGGAAAGAACTTCACTTAGAAGACATTATAGCAGAGCAGAAGTTGAAGAAACAAGTTTTGCAGTTAAAGATATCACTTACTGGTCATTCCTACCTTTTGGACTCTTAGAGTGGGAATGGGCAGGTGAAGGTTTTTAAGATTGCATATATCTGTTTTTTATCTAAACTGCTAATGTTTTCATACAGTACAGTAATAAAGATTTATCCAAAATCAAGATACAAGTGAAATTGTTAACAAGAATTTTCAATGCTGCAAGCTCCTACTTGATAAATTAATTTTCATTAAGTTAGGCAATGGTATATTGATTTTCTTTTTTTTTTTTACATTATAGTATTTTGCATTATGTGTGCTTTAGTCAAAAAACCACTACAGCAATGCAAGCCTATAAGTATTATAATTGATATGTATGACATTGATTTGCTCTCTCTCGTGTTAGGTTGCCTAATCTTTGACTTCCAAATGCCTTGTGTTATTTTAAAATAAGGCAAATACCAAAATATTTTAAATACTTATAGATTAACTAGAAGAATCTCCTATTCTGCAGCAGCATGGAATAAGTACGTGTCTGTAGAAGTAATGGGGGAAGAGGCTGCTTCCCAGTTGCAGTTGTGTTAAGATTATTATTTTTTTCTTTCTCTCCCTGTAAGGCTAAATGCACAAGTGCTTTTGCCAATAAATGGCAAATTTATTTCTTATCATGAAAGCACTACATTGAGGGAAATTAATCGAATTTACTTTAGACAATTTTTTGAAAAAAAGGAGCTTGAAAGATGAGCTTGTACAAGTATTCACACAAAGTTGTGTGAATAGCTAATATGAATCAACTTTTTAATAGCAATGAATCACTGTTATTAAGGTTTTTCTGTTGTAAGCAGCCTTGCAAAGGCATGTTTGCATCTGTGTTGTCTAAATTTAAATATAGAATATAATTGCTGAGTGGTGCCAGGACTGAATAAAGAAAAAAACTAGGTTAATTGGAGTCTTACTTTTAAGGAATAATACATTTCTGAAAGGATGGGTTTGCTTGATTTGCTGATTAGAGCCACCAGTAGCCCTTGGTGAAACCATTCTGACTACCTGCCATGTAAAACCAGGAAGATTTTAAAATAATTACTTTGCTGCTATGAATGATCTTAAATGGGATAAACCCTACACGTAGATCCTCAAGTGGATTAAATTGGCATGGTTCTGCAGCTTCACTGATTTATACCATCTGAAAATTTGAACCAATTATATGTTAAGCCAAATATTTTTAGCAATAATTTGTAAGTAAACTAAGAAACAGTTTTTGGCAAGCACTGATACCTTGTTAAGGCAAAATTGTGGCAGATAAGTGTCCCTTGGAATCAACAGCAAAATTCCCACTAATTTAAACCTTCACATCCTAAGGTAACCTAATATAAAGCATCTGAAGCTGAAGGCTAGTCTAATGTTTGTAGGGACGATCCAAGCCACCTGTATCTCTTAGTTTGGACTGGAAGTTATAATAATAATAATAGTATTAATTATAATAATTCTTCCCATTAGATTTCTAGCCCTTTTTTAAAGCCAAAGCATTTTTCTGAGGTTACTTGCGGTTATGATCCTTCTCAGAAACTGGTTATTCTGAGATAATGAAATTGAACTGAAAAAGGAGTATAGAGAATGTCACATACTATCGAAACAAAAGGGTTTTTTATTTTTCTCACAGTCAGAGTTTTCAAACATTTGTATCTTGACCTTTTATTCTCTTCTGTGTTATACAGTAAAATGGAATCTCTGTGATGTAAGGTCTTGATTAGTTTTTTCCATACTTTGGATTACTGGCGTGTTAAAGAGGAATTCATTTTTCTACATAAGCTGATCAAGAGCATTTAAAAGAATTTAGCCTGAAGGCTAGTTAAGCAAAACATATAGTATGATGAAATGAGGTGTAGTTGCCCCTGTAAGCTTCCTGTTTATAAAGCTAGTCTTGCCTCTGCTCTAAGCAACCTGGAAGAAAAGGACTTCGGTGTGTAAGAGAGCAAGACTTGATAGCATACTGAGACACTGCCAGACTACTCAGATAATTTGTCTCCTGAGCAAATCCTTTTCTTATTTAAAAAGTATGCATAGAAAGCAAGTCTCTGGTTTAGGCTCTGCTGTGTGTGAGGGCTGGATAAACTTTGGATAGTACTTAATAAGATTTAAGATTTTTGTACTCTTACCTGATTTGGGAATTTATCTTATTTTCCTGCAATATGATTTTCATTACCCAGACCTGAAATTTGAAAAGCAAATAGAAACATTTTTAAAGTATTCTGGGAAATGTCATTTTGATCACATAATATTTTTTAATTAGCAGTACCCTTATCTTTTGTGCAGAAAAAACCCCCCACAAAACTGTTGTGCAGAAAAAAAACCCCACAAATGAGTAAATGACACACAAGTTTCAGCAAGGGACACAATGTGAAGCTAGATTTTCAGACTTTACTGGGTTGCTATGGTTTTGTCAATTTAAGTCAGACCACTAATTTTGTTTACATTTTATTTTGGTTTGCTTAAGTTTCTCCATTTCTTTAACATGATGTGGGTTTTTTTGACGTTCCTACAGTTGTGATACTTCATTTCATGCAAAAGAATAATTTGAGAGGGGAAAGTATAGTTTGGAAATGACAGTGCCTTGAACAGTAACACAGTATACTGACCTGGGTCAATGTGTAGAGGTAGTAAATCAGTCTACTAAAAGTCTTGAAAGTCTCCCTTTTTAATTTTCTCTAAATAGCACAGCTCTTCACTGTTGAATATTTTGTTTTCCTGAGATACTGATCTCAGTTTGCCTTGATGGAAGTAGCATGCTTCCATTGCATTCATGTTCCTGTAGGTTTTACTGGTAATGTAAGATCAGCATTTCACTCCTATTTCTGTCCTTACTGGTAATCCTTCACTTCAGTTGATTATCATAACAACTTTTGATTCTAGACCATTTCTCCTAAAAAGGTGAGTATTTCAGGGTTTTGATAGCACTGAGTTAAGGAGCATCTGAAAGGTTTTTATTGTCCAGGGTCTATTTGGTGACACAAGAAGGATCCAAATTAGTTTTGCACAGCCTCTGTGAGACAGATTTTGATTTCTTTGTGCCCCCTTTTCCCCACAACCTTTTCCCCACAACCCAAATCCAAAACTCAGCACTTTCCATCCAGGGCCTAAGCTCTGTTAGTCATGGTACTCTGATGGTCTACAGTTTAAGTCAAACTTAGAACTTTATGACTCAATTGAAATGTCTTGACAGGTCTCTTGTATAGTTAATCAACTTAATAAAAAAACAAAAAAAAATCCCTTAAAACTCTTCCTTAAAGTACAAGTTGTTTTCTAATTTCATAGCCTACTACTGATTCAGCTCTTGTTTTGAGCTATGGGTGTTCTTGAGCTTAGTTTAACCTTGGCATTCAAGTAGTTAATATTTTCTCCTGCAAATCATGCATGAGAGCAGTTTAACTCATCTGTTTATTTAATTTTTGTGTTACTTAAGAGAAACAAAAATATTCTAACTGCCCAATTCTCTTCCTATTGTAATGGCTTTATTTACTGTGTTTCTGATGGGATAATCCTGCACTGACCCTGAACAGTTTATGTTTTGTGGAGCAAAACTTATGATTTAAGGTATGGGGGAATTATATGTGGATAAGTACAGTTTACTTTTGGTTGTTGGCAGTATATCTTTTTCCAAAGTTAAAGGGAAATAGTCGGAAGCACTCAAACCACAATGATGCAACACCCACAGCCAAACAGCCATCATATGAAGTGTCTCACTTCAAAGGCATCTTAAAAAAAAAGGAAAGTGATAGAGGCTTAACTGCCTTTCCTTTTGAGGTTCATTCTAGCATGCAGTGGTTCCAC